TCACAGGTAGCTGGAGAAAAATATAAGACCAGATCGTTTGTAATTTCCCTTGGTTCAGACAATTGTTGGTCCTATGAGAAACTGAATCTGGTACTTTCTCAGTGTGAACTAGGAATAGTTTCACTTCATGGGAAATTGCAACCTACTTATTTTAGAACACTGAGTGATATTAGAGTATCACATCCTGTTTGTACTTCTCCATAGGTGTGGGAAAAAAAAAGACAAAAAGGGTTTTGTGTGATACTTGGGAGATGTGAGCTTTTATAGAGACAAATATATACATATATAACATGTATATACACATGTATAGTTACTATTACAATTATCTGGCCTAAGAAAAGAGACAGGGAACCAAGATTCTTCTTTATAACACCTTTTTCGGACCAAGAATGGCACAGAAACACATACTTTTTCTCCTCAGACACCAAGACTCAGGGCTGTCTCTTTCCTCTCAGGAGTCTCCACTTTCCACCAGTAGTTCTTACAGATGAAGCCCAGTTGTCCCTACGTGCCCATATATACAATCACATTTATAGTTGTTTTAAATTTCAAAATCTCTAACACTTGGGCCTCTTCCATTTTGTACTTGAGTTTATATTGCTAAGATGCATGCCTATTAATTTTTAGTTCCTTATTATTATTATTGTTATGTTCAACTTTTATTTTAGAATGTGGGGGCACATAATGCAAGTTTGTTAGAAAGGTATATTACGTGATGCTGAGGTTTGGAGAACAAATGAATCCGTAAACCCAGGTAGTGAGCATAGCACCCAACAGACAGTTTTTCAGCCCTTGCCCTCCTCCCTCTCTCCCCACTCAAAGTGTCTCCAGTGCCAGAGCCAGACTGTCTCAAAGAAAAAAAAAATCACAGGAAACATCCTGTTGTTACAGGCATTGGCAAAGTGTTTACAGCTAAGTCTTTGAAAGCAATTAAACAAAAACAAAAATTGATGAGTGGGACCTCATTAACCTACAGATCCAGTGAAGGCCTAATATTCAGAATCTAGAAGCAACTTACACAAATCAGCAAGCAACAAACAAACAGCCCCGTTAAAAAGTGTGCAAAGGACATGAACAGACACTTATCTATGCACACGTGTGCCCAATGTTTAGCTCCTGTTTATGAGTGACAACGTGCTATGTTTGACTTTCTGTTTCCACGTTACATCACTTAGGCTAATGACCTCTAGCTCCATCCATGCTGCTGCAAAGCGCATGATTCCCTTTTTGATTGCTGTGTTGCATTCTATGGTGCATATATCCAGTCCATTGTTAATGGACACCTGGGTTTATTCCACATCTTTGTTATTGTGAATGGTGTTGCAATGAACATATAGGTGCATCTATCTTTTTGGTAGAATAATTTATTTTCCTTTGGGCATATACCTATCAATGGGTTTGCTAGGCCAAATGGTAGTTCACCTCTTAGTTCTTTGAGGAATCTCCCAACTGCTGTCCACAGTGGCTGAACTAATTTACGTTCTCACCAACACTTGCTCCATTTTCTTTGCAGCCTTACCAGCATCTGTTATTTTTTTGACTTTTTACTAATAGCTGTTCTGAGTGGTGTGGTTATCTCCTTGTGGTTTTAATTTGCATCTCCCTAAGGATGAGTCATGTTGAAGATTTTTTCCTACGCTTTTTGGACATATGTGTGTCTTCTTTGGAAAAGTGTCTGTTCATGTCCTTTGCCCACTTTTTAACGGGGCTGTTTGTTTTGTGCTTGCTGATTAGTGTAAGTTGCTTGCAGATTCTGAGTATTAGACCTTCGCTGGCTCTGTAGGTTAATGAGGTCCCACTCATGAATTTTTGTTTTTGTTTAATTGCTTTTGAGGACTTAGCTGTAAACACTTTGCCTGTATCAAGGAAGATGTTTCCTATTTATTTATTTATTTATTTATTTTTCTTTGAGACGGAGTCTGGCTCTGCTGCCAAGGCTGCAGTGCAGTGGCGCGATCTCGCTCACTGCAACCTTTGCCCCCCAGGTTCAAGCAGTTCTCCTGCCTCAGCCTCCCACGTAGCTGGGATTACAGGTGCCTGTCGCCATGCCAGGCTATTTTTTTTTTTCTTTTTTGTATTTTTAGTAGAAATGGGGTTTCCACCATGTTTTCTTCTAGGATTCTTATAGGTTGAGATCTTACATTAAAATATTTAATCTAGGCTGGGCTTGGTGGCTCACGCCTGTAATCCCAGCACTTTGGGAGGCTGAAGGGGGCAGATCACAAGGTCAAGAGATCGAGACCATCCTGGCTAACATGGTGAAACCCCATCTCTACTAAAAATACAAAAAAAAGTAGCTGGATGCGGTGGCGGGTGCCTGTAGTCCCAGCTACTCGGGAGACTGAGGCAGGAGAATGGCGGGAACCCGGGAGACAGAGTTTACAGTGAGCCGAGATTGCGTCACTGCACTCCCGCCTGGGCGACAGAGTGAGACTCTGTCCAAAAGCTATTGAACAAAATACATTTTTTAGAAAAAACTATAAAAAGCTACAGTACCAAAAACATTATGGTACGGGTACAACAGACACATAGACAATGAAACAATACAACCACACACTATCCATGCATCATCTGATATTAAACAAAGTCAACAAAATGGCCAGAGGGACAAAGACTCCTATTAAAAAACTAATCCTGTGATAACTGGCAGCCATATTGCAAAAAGAACTGACGACAACTATATATCACCATATACCACAAATTAAAGGAAGACAGATTAAATATAATTCTTTTTTTTCTTTTTTTTTTGAGACCAGATCTACTTCTGCCGC